ATTATCACACATGGCGTCAAGGTCCCAGTCCTCCGAATCCGAGTTCGAACCGCTTTCGTTGGAGTACTTTTGTTTCCGCTTTGAGCGGGTCACCGAGGACTTTACAGACTCTTTTTTATGACGTTTAGGGACACGATCCGCCATGCTACCGTGTGCGAGCTCCAAGTCGGAGTCGTAGTAATCGGAGGAAGAACTTCCAGCCTGTTCACCACCAATTTTATTCTTTGTACTAGTTGACTCTATATCATCTGAGTCAGCTGCCGAGTCATCTTCATCGTCATCTTCATCGTCATCGTCATCGGAATCATCAGCTTTAGAATCCGCCTTCTTGCTTAAGGAGGCCTCTTCTTCGTCAAATGCTGACAGACTTCCACCCGCGATAAGTTTAGCCAACATCTTCTCGCCGAGAATATCTTTCAGGCCAAGACCGCTGCCTTGACCACCCGCAACAGCACGTCCAGCTCTAGAAAGCGTGGTCGACGATGATCGATCGCCTGCAGAGGCTAGTTTGTCTCCGCGAGCGGTGAAGTTCTCCAAGGTGGTTTTGGTCGGAAAGTACTTTTCCACGAGGGACTGGAAAACACCCCTGTAAAGTAAAACAATGGAAGAGTCAAAAAGCATATAATTCACCTCGGTTGGATTTTTCCATGAATTTATTACATATTTTGCAAAAAAAGATGAGTATAGTGAATGATAGTCATGATAAAAATAAACGGCCAAGACGATAGTTGCGCTGCGATTGTCATACCTAAGCAACCTATTTTTAATAATAACTGCACAAACTCTTACTGGAGTCTACTGTCGGAGATAAAAGCAGCAGCTTATACACACAAACCTGGAATACAAACATTGGCTTAAATTCGTAAAAGTTTTTTTTATCAAAGGACGGTGTATATGTTGCAAAATAGCAGAGGGACCAAAGGAGTTTGTTGTTGGGTGGTACAACGACTGCCCCTACTAGCGCAATCCCGAAAAATAAACGCACGTCAACACAAGGCAAGCCTTCATCCTAAGAAGGGAACCAGTGCATACGTCACGGAGGTCAGTGGCACGTAGATCACATTTTGAAAACTTAGCCAAAAGTCTCCAGTTTCGCAGGTCCTGTTAACAGTTCTTTTCTTTGACATTCAGGCAAACTAATTGATTACAAGCCCCGGAACTAAAAACCGGCGGATGCTAACAAAACTTACCACGACCTATAACTTTGGTTCATAAAAATAATTCTAATGCAAGCTAAAAAAATGAGATAAGAAAAATGTGTTTCGAGATTAATCGTATAGCTGAGGACTATCGAATTTAAGGCCTACACCAATAGATTCAATTCAACCAATGAGCCATTATAACCTGAACCCCAGCGTTATCCACGCTAGTAAGTCAGGCCGACAGGTTTGTGCGCTTCCCTGTGTGAAACATGTTATATAAGGTTGACGAGTTTACTACTTACTTCGCAGTAGAGACGAATTCGCCCAAATCCGAGCCTTGCTCCTCAACTTGCTCAAGTGTTTTCGCTTCGCCAGTGGATTGAAGGCCAATGACCACACACTAAAATTCGGACAAAACAGGTTTCAATTGGTGGGACTGCAAGCAAAGGACAAACTTTGCGACTGTTTAATCAAGACACTGTATGTTAGGGTGCATGGCTCGTAAATAGGGCTGTTGACTTCCCTGGAAGTTGTGATTCTGTCGACATAAAAGTATATGCACCTCAAAATTCAAAAGAGATCAAGATAATTTCTCGACTTTAAACCTTCAAAAGCATGTAGAATAACATAAGCGAGGGTATCAAGCCAGAACGGGTAGATATAAACTCAAATATTACCTGGAGGTCGGGGCTTTAAATCGTAAAATATCCAGTGTTGAGCCCCCACGCCAAAAAACGACGGTACAGTTCCCGCGTTGGACTAAAACGGAAGTTCTAATGACCCATGACATGCGTTAGGCAGGCTGTACTTGAGCTTTTTAAGATCTTAACTATTACCGCGTGCATGTGGCACGCACCACATATGGGTTTATACCAAGCAATCGAGATCACTCATACAGTGTAGGTCAATAACAAAGTACCCTCATTTGTGGAGATTTAATATACTGCAATCAATCTAATGGGCTCGTGGCTGTCCGAACGCGACAGCTACTGTGAGTTGTAAGGTTGTCAGCTATGCACCAGACCGGATTGTACGTGTAAGTAGGCTATTAAGTATTCCCAGACAAAGGGCCTACACCTACCGCCAGTCATCTTGGTTTCTCCTTATCACGTGAGCATGATGAGTAAGGAAACAGTGACGTAGCTGCTACACAGGGTTGCGTCACCAAAAAATCACGCAAAAGTTACCTATACATCCCGGGATGACAGCGAACCTCTTCGATTACAACGATCAAACTATTAAAATGAGCGACAAAGAGAACGATATGATCTATAAAACTGATAAACACCATTTCCTGAACAGAAATTATATCGGTCCCACCACAAAAATACGGGACCTAAAACTACAACACACCGGTAAACGCAGGGAAGTAAATGTAAGTGCTCCGATGGAACACTGTCCATCGATTTGAAAACTATCAGCAAAAGGTTAATTCTGAACCTATAAAAGACTATCACCTTTCCCTGGGCCAGTGCCGTCCTCGTCAATTTGACACAGGCGTCAACCTTGGCAGCAATGCAGAGATACTTGAAGAAACGCTGATGAGCAGACCAAAATTGTCCCCACATCGTCTTGCGGAACTTATCGGAGGGGTTGAGGATACGACAGGCCTCGGAGAAAAATCTGTAGGCATAAACCCACTGAAAAAGCAGTGCAAAATATTAATGATCACGTCAGTATGAACCGCAAAATATCGCCTGTCACAAGGTGGAAATAAGAGGTAATGGAAAAGGGAGTGATGACACAAACGGTACACTGACCGTAGGGAGTGTACAGTGGGGGACTACAGCCTTTACCTTACCTGTAGACATTTACGTGGGGGGTTTTGGCGGGTCCACATTAGGTACTTGAATTGTTCGTTCGATCTGGTTTTCTCTAGCACTTTGGCTCAAGAACCTAACCACAAGGCAGCGGTGGCAAGAAACCCTGATTAATGGCGTTTTACAGTCGTTATGTCACACTGCAGTCATTGGGACTTGCAGCATTTTATAAGGCAGTCGGTGTGCCAGACCTCAGCCCTCCGCGCTCTGGTAGCACATTTTTTAAGAGTGACCAATCGTTCCATGAGCCTGGAACACGTAGCGGTTGCTCCGTACAGCCCGTAGCGGACAACTAGCTTCCATTCATGGCTCCCAGAGCTTGGCTCTGCTTAGCGGAAACATTCCGGTAACTGATTCGATCGGTAGGCCAACGCATATGAGGCCATCCGGTACTCGATCCTCCAACTCTTGCTGGACGGACCACCGAGGCTGCAACTCCAACCCCACATAGCAAGTTAACATCAGTAAAAGTAAATACTATCATTCTACACTGCTGACTGCCAAATAGACTTTAGAAATCGTCTGAAACTCCGCTTGGAATAGATGCAAGATGAAGAAGTGAGTGCCATTATTTAGACGCAATGGAATCCACTGAAGGGTATTATCTACTTTGCTGTTCTGGTAGGACTCAAGTGCACACAGTTGGCACAAGAACTGGTTTGATGACGACAAATAAATCTGCAGTCTACGATGCGAGAAGGATGAGCTTCAGATAACCTACGTCAACCACAAAACCGAGGCCAACAAAGCGGCTTTCTTCGCGAAGCCTGATTTAACAGCGAGGGAGATGCAGAATAATTGGATGACTCACTAGACAAAGGAAATGCAAGGGCACAGACTAGAATGAAATGAAAAACTTAATCGTAAACATCAAGGTTCTTAACCCAAGGGGACTGCGTCGCTTCTCAGTTCTGACGGGACAACCCTTCCGACGGAAAAATTTCAAATCCTAGAGCGCTGGGTTGTTTCAGAAGCATCTTCTGTCGGCTAGCCACAGTACCAGACGAAGCCATTAACAGACTTCTTTAAATGGAAGCTAACGCAGACCTTGACTGTTCACTCTCGCTGCAAGAAACAATCAAAGCTGTACACTAAATTTCCAGCGACAAAGTACCGAT